TTTTGATCAGTTTAATGCATCCTTGATGAATAAAAGTATTAATTCCTAATAAAAAATATATTTTATTTTATTTAATTTGTTATATATATTATATACAGTGTGTGTGTATGCATGTATGTATGTATTTCTTACAGATCATTTACAGACCGTTAACCTTAATAATTTCACTGATGTATTTACCATCCTGCAGCCATAATTCAAGCAGTCATTAAGTTTTCTCTTTATTGTGAAGGATGTGGCACTCTGAATAAGCATCAGCTTCTCTCTCGCTGTCTGTAAGTGCTGCGCTATTGCTGGCATCATCATTTCATTACTTACAGATAATTGACACATTCAGTGCTAAATAAGTTTACATTGGATTAAGGGAGAAGAAATGAATTTCACATGGTTGCATCAGCATCTTAGGTAGTTCTTTAATGAATCAACCACATGCTCACCAATTAGCACAGGCTAAATCTCCTCCTGTGGCTCGTTGGAGTGTCGTTAAAGTTTGGATTTTTTATCCACTTTCACTAATTTACACATAATTGTTTTGCTGGTCAGTGAGATAATGAACACTCTTGTGGTTTGTAGGTCATGCATTAGATCAGGCCAAATGTTTGAAACCACCAAGAGATATTAAAAATGAAAAGATAAATAAATTAAGGATTTGAGAGAGGGGAGGTGATTTGCATGCATAGATTAATGATGAAAATATGAGTTGGTTTTTGAGGTTATCTTGAACTAGTCTTGCGTAAAGCATTATTGTGCATTCATTCAGCATTATTTGTGATTATTTTAATGGCAATTTGAAATTAATTACTATTATGATGATTTTAACTTGTTTGGTAATAAAGTTAAATTTTGAATTAGAATGACTGAAATACTGATTTCTTGTAAAATGAACTCCAGTAATCTTTGTTTTAAAATAATTTTCCAAAATGAAGCCAATGTGACACTCAGTACGGCCTTTCTTTCCTGAATCAGTTTTTTGAGCAAATACGTTGAATGAATAAAGTGACTCACTCTTAAAAAATATTCATTTAGTTCTTTCCAGAATTAATTGATTGAGTGAATAATTCAATGACTGACTCATAAAGGCAATCACTTGATTTGTTCCTGATGGAATCAGTGTTTTAAACAAATCTGTGGAATGAATGATTCAATGACTCACTCATAAATATACTCATTTAGTTCTTTCCAGAATTAATCTGTGTTACTGAACAAATCGATTGAGTGAATCAGTGACAAATCGGTTGAATGAATGATTCAATGACTCACTCATAAAGGCAGTCATTTAGTTCTTTCCAGAATGAATCTGTGTTATTGAACAAATCAATCGAGTGAATGATTCAGTACCTGACTCGTAATGACAATCGCTTGATTAATTCCTAAATAAATTAGCATTTTGAACAAATCTGTTGAATGAATGATTCAGTGACTCACATAGATGTCGTAACCTGCAGAAGAGTCACTGAATAATCGATAATATAAATATATATCCTGAGATATTTATAGAAATATTTATTGGCTGTATCACCCAGCCTAGTATTAAAGTTGCATACACCTAAAAAGGTCATTTAAATATTTATTTAACTCACTAAAAACAAGGTTTCGCTTGAACAGGTGTCAGTGTTTATGCAACAGAACTGCTGTTACTTCTATGTTTGATTAGTTTAGTGAACAGGGCACAATGGTTATGTTTTTTTCCCTGGTTTCTACACATGTTGAGTAGTACGTAGATCTATATTTAAGATTGTGAGCATGTGTCTGCTATTTGACTGAATGTTCTGTCTTGTATATCTGAAGGGTTATAAGCCTCCTGGTGCAGCCTTGAAGCAGGTGGTCTGTAAGATTGCATGCTGCAGTCACATAACGCTCACTTGGTATTCATCTCTTCCTCATCTGGCTCCCTCGCTCTTGCTCTGGGCTCCTGGATCTTGTGTTGTGAATGTCTCTCTCGTTTGTGCCACTTGTAACGGCTTTGAAATATTGCCCAAGTGACTTGTGGTTCATGAGACTGGCGCTTCAGACATAAACTGAAGAAGCACGAGAACAGTTTCCACTGCGTAACGTAAGCACCTCTGGCTGAATTCACTGCGCTGTTATGATTGCACATAAATGTACATAATGTACATACACACACACACACACACACACACACACACACACACACGCGCACACACACACACACACACACACACTGCCATTCAAAAGTTTGGGATTTCTGCTCATCAAAAAAATGTATATTGTGAAATATTATTGCAATTTAAAATAATGATTTTCAATTTTAATATACTTTCAAATATAATTTATTGCTGTGATCAAAGCTGTATTTTCAGCATCATAACTCCAGTCTTCAGTGTCACATGATCTTCAGAAATCATTCTAATATGCTGATTTATTATCAATATTGGAAACAGTTTTGCTGCTTAATATTTTTTTTTGAACCTGTGATACTTTTTTTCAGGATTCTTTGATGAATAAAAAGTTAAAAAGAACAGCAATTATTTAAAATATAAATTTTTTCTAACAATATAAGTCTTTATTATCACTTCATATTATATGCAAGTTATAATTCTTTATTTAAATTAAATAATAATTCATAATTTATTTGTGTTTTAATTGTATTCCCATTCATTGATTATTTATTTGTTTACTTATTTGTTACAATTTAATTCTAATTCATAATTAGTTTTTTATTAAATTTTTATTAAAATTACTGTATGTATGTATTCATTTGTTTATTTATTTAAATTTTACTCAAATTCAGAATTGATTTGTATGTTTATTTCAAATTCATATTTTATTTGGTACAATTTAATTAAAATGTATTTATTTTAATGAATTCAAATTAAGTATTTATTAATTTAAATTGTATTCAAAATATATTATTTATTTATTTATTTCAGTTTAATTTATATTCATTAGTTATTTAAGTTATTTACATTTAGATTTAATTAAAGTTCATTATTAATTAATTATATAATTAGTTCATTTATTTGATTTATTTGATTAATTGTGGTATTTTGTAAAAAAAAAAAAAAAAAATTTAAATAATTTGGAGAATCCAAATTGTTTCAAAGTAAATCCTGCACCAATATTTTTTCATTATACTTGAAGTGTGTGTGTGTGTTTGTGTGTGCATTTGTTGCAATTGTGTTCTATTGATATATGTCAAATCATTGGTATGTGTTTGAAGCAAGTGTTTATTTGGTTAGTTGTGAGTTAGCCAACTTGTGTTTGGGATGTGTGTGTATTTTTTTGTGGGCGTTGGTATAAAGTTGATGAGAGAGACCTTTCCCCCCTCGCCTCAGTCTCACTCTTCCACCTACAGTCGTGTTTTTTCAGGCTTCGCACCAGAAGTAAACACTTAGTCCCGGCTTTTGTTGTGCGTATATGTGTGTGTGTGTGTGTGTATGCATTTGGTTCTCGCTTCTCGTGGTGAATTAGGAAAGCCCTTCCTTCACATTAAACCTAAATGTGAAATCTCAGGACTTTTGATGTGCCCCTAAGGTTTTCTCATTCAAGCGGTTTTCAAAAGACATCCAATCCACAGGCCTGTGATCTCTAGTGTCAGGAAATTCTTCTAAAGGATTTTTTATTTTTAACCCCATGTCCTCCCCCTCTTCCCTTCTTAGAAACAAGGGCATCTATGAGTGGAAATATTCAACTTAACACACACACACACACACACACACACACACACACACACACACACTGCCATTCAAAAGTTTGGGATTTCTGCTCATCAAAAAAATGTATATTGTGAAATATTATTGCAATTTAAAATAATGATTTTCAATTTTAATATACTTTCAAATATAATTTATTGCTGTGATCAAAGCTGTATTTTCAGCATCATAACTCCAGTCTTCAGTGTCACATGATCTTCAGAAATCATTCTAATATGCTGATTTATTATCAATATTGGAAACAGTTTTGCTGCTTAATATTTTTTTTGAACCTGTGATACTTTTTTTCAGGATTCTTTGATGAATAAAAAGTTAAAAAGAACAGCAATTATTTAAAATATAAATTTTTTCTAACAATATAAGTCTTTATTATCACTTCATATTATATGCAAGTTATAATTCTTTATTTAAATTAAATAATAATTCATAATTTATTTGTGTTTTAATTGTATTCCCATTCATTGATTATTTATTTGTTTACTTATTTGTTACAATTTAATTCTAATTCATAATTAGTTTTTTATTAAATGTTTATTAAAATTACTGTATGTATGTATTCATTTGTTTATTTATTTCAATTTTACTCAAATTCAGAATTTATTTGTATGTTTATTTCAAATTCATATTTTATTTAGTACAATTTAATTAAAATGTATTTATTTTAATGAATTCAAATTAAGTATTTATTAATTTCAATTGTATTCAAAATATATTATTTATTTATTTATTTCAGTTTAATTTATATTCATTAGTTATTTACAGTGTATTTATTTAGATTTAATTAAAGTTCATTATTAATTAATTATATAATTAGTTCATTTATTTGATTAATTTGTCTTTGTGTGGTATTTTGTAAAAAAAAAAAAAAAAAATCTAAATAATTTGGAGAATGCCATGCCCATTGGCTACTATATAGAATTTGTTAATTATTATTATTATTATTATTATTATTAACAATAATATCAAATGTAAATATTTATTGAACATTGGTGTATTTCATCATTGCAGTTGCCACAATTTTATAAGAGCACTAAGTGGCACAGGATTCATGCTGTTGTTAGCCACACTCTTTTACCATGGCTTATTGCTTATTAACTTTTTTCATGATCACTCATCACACATCAAACATTTGAGTTTGTTCTGCCTATAAGAGCATAAACATTTAAGGTGTTTAAGCTTTAAAGGTGCATTCTCTGAACACTTTATCTGTTCAGACAGCAGATCAACTATTAGTCTGTTTTTAGCACTTTATATTTAATGGAAAATTTCCTCTCATTTCCTCTCATCCTCCTCTCACTTCACACAATGTTATTTTGTCTCTCGCACTTTTGCACTCTCATCTTCCTCTCAAACTCTTTTTCCTCTTCAGGTTTGTTTTCTCTCTCTCTCTCTCTCTCTCTCTCTCTCTCTCTCTCTCACACACACACACTCACACTCAGCTCGTTTTGTCTCTCGCACTTTTGCACTCTCATCTTCCTCTCAAACTCTTTTTCCTCTTCAGGTTTGTTTTCTCTCTCTCTCTCTCTCTCTCTCTCTCTCTCTCTCTCTCTCTCTCTCTCTCTCTCTCTCTCTCTCTCTCTCTCTCTCTCTCTCTCTCTCTCACACACACACTCACACTCAGGTCTTGTAGTGTGTGTGCCGATGTTCCTCCAGCTAGTGATTTGAGCTGAGAAATAGCCGGTCTCACTCTATTTGCTCTCTGCAAGTCCACCAGAGGCGACTGGGCTCTGCATGTCACTCAATCCCTGATTGGATTTTTGCCCTCGCTGCCGTATGATTGAAACATTCAGCTCTCCTGCATTTCTCTGTGAAAGTTTCCCGCTGCACCGTTCGCCGGCTGCCTTGGTTTCTGCGGTGACTGTGATCCGGTTATTATCGGTGTGTTTGTGTGTGATTAATAGTGTGGGTGTAATCTAAGCTGCTATTGTTTTGATCAATCTTCTCCTGAACTGTAGCGAGGCACAACCTGAATGCACAATCACTGACAATGTCTTTAATTAAAGCATGCAGATTGTTTTGTGGAAGCATTGTATATAATCATTTGCTACTGGTTTTCAGGTCAACTGAATCACAGAGAATTAGATACTGTATAAACTCAATGCAGTATCCTAACCATGCATTCTAATATAACTGCATAGTTTAGACTCTAAATTCTGAATTAACTCCGACTCAAGCCATTGCAATAGTTAGTTTGCATAGTGTTATGCTATAATGCACACAAAATCAGTTTATTGCATTAAATCCATCCAATATAATAATATTATTCAGAAAAAATATTTAGATTAATTTATAGATGATTAAATGTTATTATCAATTTTATTTAATTTGAGGTGAAAGGTGAGTGAGGTGCTTTACTTTGACCAGTCTTTACAGTTTCTGAAGTGTGTAGGTAAAAAATAATGTCCCAATGTTTCACGTATTATGTGATAGCTTTAGCTATCAGCTTTATTATTTTATGTGGCCTGTCCGTAAAACATTGCTAATACTCGTATAGACACACAAAGACAAAAAAACCATCAGGGAAATGACACTAAATAATGCAATAAACATAAAACACAAACATCCACATGTACATTACTGAGAACAAAAATAAGAAATGAAAGTATTTAAATTAAATAGAAGCCTGTATGTCATGTGCATTGTTGCTGTGTTCACCAAAATTATACAATAATTTGCCGTTTTTACTATGCATAAATCTGACAGGTTATTTACAGTACAAATACAAAAAAAAATAAAAAATGTTAAACCATTATAGTAAGGTATCTTACAGTTAAACATTTATCAGGCTTTTACTGTACCATTTATTTGTCAAAATTACACACATTTTTACTGTGTAAATGCTCCTGGATTTCACGTTAAAAATCTGGTGGAGTGAGATTTTGTACTTTTTCGAATGAGATTTCATAGGCAGTGCTAGTCAACAGAAACAATATGCAAAATCTCTGTTTGTTGTCATTGCGGCTGTTAGAACGAAAACTTCAGGTATCACTTCACATACGGTTAGGACACAGAATGACGCTCGTGTTGTGCACTCTTGTGGATGTTGAGGCTAGTTTGTTGAGCTGATCCAGCAGAAAGACAGTTTCTGCAGTTGATTTTGTACTTCTTACTAAGAGCTTCTTTAGAGAGTTTGCGTTTGAGCACAAGCCTCTCCTCAGAAGGCGGTGCAGAAATAGTCATCTGAGGACACACATTTTCTGCTGTCTTGACCCTCAGTGACAAGCGTTCATTTAAGAGAGTCTTTGGTGTTCTCCTAAAGAGGCCATGAAGAGCGATTCTGCTGTCTGCAGAGACACCCACAGCAATGCGTCAGTGCTTTTCTGAGGCTCAAGCCACCTAATTGACCAGCTTCACCCTCCTTCATGGCCAGTAGATATTTGGCACAATGCCACTTCTGCCTCACGGGTTTCAGGTAATTGCACAAACATAACTTTGAATGCTGGCCATTCGTCGTTTAGATTTCAATCTTTTTGCATATGTAAAATCCGCACATCCTTGGGTCACGTAGGCTTACTTTCAGGGTTACAGTCTAGATTTGCATTTGATTAGAACTGCATTTGCTGAAGCAAACAGCGGTGCTTGCGAAGCAAATTAATGTGATAATGGTTTGATGCGCTAGTCTCAAATGTGCTCACTTTTCTAGCATTTCCAAAGGAAACTTTGAATGCTTTTACTACATGGAAACAGCCTTTTCAGTAGAGGAAAAACACAGAGTGTATAATTGAGCAGAATTATGTGAACTGGAACAGACCTTTAGTGTTAGAAGTTCAGAACAAACTGCAAAAACCGCAAAGTCTGAGGGACATAAATATAATACTGCTTTGCAAACACTTTAAAAACAAGTTCAAAGGTTGTTTGGATGACAAATGGATCTGGTTAGAAGCATTACCACCAAAAGAAGCCTTTTTCAGGAAACAATGGCTCTTTGTGGAGCTTCAAGAGATGGGTAATGAAGAACAGTCTGTGCTCAGACACTCGTATGATGGTTCAACCTCTGTAGTTTCACACAGACATTGCATTCAGTATATGACACATACAATCTTAAAAATAAAGGTTCTTTATTGTGGTTCCATCAAGACGAAGAAGTGCTTAAGGGAATAGTTCACCCAGAAATGAAAATGTGATGGAAATATCCTCACCCTCAGGCCATCCGAGATGTAGATGAGTTTGTTTCTTCATCAGATTTGGAGAAATGTAGCATTGCATCAGTGTCTCAGCAATGGATGCTCTGCAGTGAATGGGTGCCGTCAGAATGAGAGTCCAAGATGCAGTGCTACATTTCTACAAACCTGATGAAGAAACAAACTCCTCTACAGATGGCATGAGGGTAAGCACATTTTCAGCAAATGTTCATTTCTGGGAGAACTATTCCTTTAAGAACTGTTTACTAGACGGGTGTTTGAGGAACAAAAAATGGTTCTTCTATAGCACTGCTGCAACAACAACAAAGAACCTTTGAAATCTTAGTGTAGTATGTTGTAGGCATTACTAGACAACACCTTTCAGCCATTTTCACTTCATCCAGGAGTCATCCAGAGGGATAAGAGCCTGACTCTTTGAGGATGAAATATGTCTGCATTATGTCCATTATGTCCGACCATTACCGAGTCTGACAGTCCCTTTGAAGACACACTTACACCCTCCAGCCAAAGATCACATGCTAAATCTTTTAATTTCCTCTATGGATGCATTTTCAGTGGGCTGAAATGAAAGATGACACACAATTCCCACCGATATCAAACATTATTTTAACATGTTTTGTCCTGAAGCAGGGCGCCGGTCTCTTTGACGGACCACTGTATTCCCTACAATCACTGCAGACGTCTGTGAAGGGCAGATTTCAGTGAATGTGCTCTGACCCTTTTAGCAAGAGGTCGAAGGAAATCTAATGCTTCGCCTGAGAGATTTGAGGATGATGCTTTCTGAGGTTTTGCTGCACTCGTGCAAACATTCAGGTTCATTTTCAGTAATAAAATCAAGAAGCGTATACTGAGAAATCTTATTTCTAATGTGTACACCTTTAAAACTCATTTAATGTTTCCAGCTATGGGAAAACATTACCAGATTTTTTTCCCTTCACTTCCACTGCCATTGCATATGAAAACCCTGAGGGTGTGATATATACGATATACAGTGGTGTGAAAAAGTGTTGGCCCCCTTCCTGTTTTTTAAATTTTTTGCATATTTGTCACACTTAAAAGATTCAGATCATCAAGCAAATTTTAATATTACACAAAGATAATGCACGTGCAAACGGTGATGATAATGTCGTTTTTGTAATACTTTGAAGGTCCCATTACTTTGTCGATGATTTGAACTCTTTCGCACATTCATGCTCATGCATAACAATCAGATCAGTGTTACCTGAAAATACCTGAAAGCAGTTCAGGCCGAGCCTAAAGTTGGCTTCTTGGTTAATCAATGCATTTTTCATGAGGGGCTTAAGGAGAAACCGCAGAGAACTAAATCAATAGAGACAGTTGCTGTGTTTCATTCTTCAGGGCAGGTTTCACTCTTTTATTCAATATTAACCCTCTAAAGCCTGACATATTAAATTATAGTCAGAAATTGAACAGTTTATTGAGCCTTTAGACAATATATATATATATATATATATATATATATATATATACAGTGGGTACTGCATTTTTTATCAGATTTTTAATTTTTTTTTTATAAAATTACAATACTGAAATACTGTAGTATGCAGAAAGAAGAGACGATTCGGTTGCACTGTAAAAAAATATGGTATATATTTTTACAACAACTTTACATTTTATAGTAAAAAACTGAATTAAAAAAAAGTTACAAGGTGCATAATGTCATAACACAACAATATAAAACGCCATCATGACTTTAAAATAATGCAATACAAATTAATTTACGTTAATGTTCTTTCAAAATTAGCATATATTTATGTACATAACTGATGAGAAAAAAACTAAGATAAAACAGCTAAAAAAAAGGATTATTTTTTACTTACAAAACTGTACTTTTAACAGTATTTTTCTGTAAAATTACATGAAGTGTCCTGTTAAATCTACTAAAGTTTTTCATCATATTGAGTTCCTCTGTATTACAGTTAACCAGTTAACAGGTTTTTACCATAGCCTTTTTGCAAAATTATTAAAATTATGTTAATATTGATGTGATATTTTGATTAAAAATAACGAGGTCAGAAAATAAATAAAAAAGTAAAAATGAAGCATATGCACAATACAACAAACATGCATTTACAAAATAGGGTGAGTTTTCATTGCATCCTGACTTTAAGTGTCCCAACAAAGGAGATCTGCTTATGAAGCCATCCGTTAGCTCATCCCAGTGGGCTGATTGTCACATTTTTACAATTTTGCTGACAGGAACCACTGAAGTTTTTGAGCCAATCACCTGAAGCGTAAATGTCATGTGACTTCTCACTCAGAGCCGCTGGAAAATGACGTGATGATTGCACCACATCACATGAGAATGGTTTATCCTGAAGACGTTTATGCATGCGTGAATGAGCCGAAGAGCAGCGATGCTTCGTTGAGATCAGTCGAACACAAGCCTGAGAGTCATTCGGACGAGCTCTGGTTATAATCCGTTTTGAAGGTCGTCATTCATCTGTTTCCATTGTGTAATGGTATGATTGCAAGCTCGCGGTACTCCTCGATCTTCTCTGTTTACCACCGGGGGAGACTCAGTGTTCCAGATATAGAAAAGAACAAACAATTCTCTCTGAATGGAGCGATCTTTGTTTAGCTGTGTTATTTAAAACACAAATCTCAATGGAACTGAGGTGAAACTGTCAGTCGTATGTATTATGATTCTCAAACGCTCACTTTAAAAAAAAAAAAAGAATGGTCAAAGTTGTAAATAAAGTGAGTAAATACTATTTCAATCTTTCTACTTCAAAATCTCACATTTAATTCAATATGTTATGTGTCATTTAATTCTATTTCTTTGTAATTAGTTGTGAAATTTACTAGCAATTTCTGACTGAAAATTGTTTTTACACCATTTTTTTTTCAGCGTTGGATCGTTCCAGAGAACTTCAGTGTAGAGCTGGGCGATTTGGCCAAAAATATTATCACAATAATTCTTTCCATATCATATATCCATATTTATCACAATATACATTTACCATTGAATGTAAACAAAACTCTTCACAACTAAACTCCACGGAATCTTTTAATTTTGGGAGCCATGCAATCCATTTTATTTTCCTATAAATTCTGTGATCTCAATTTTATTTTTTTTCTGGATTCTGTGATTTTTGATTTAATACAAATTTATCATAAAAACTGTGTCTAATATACTGTACATTGCATGAATATTGAAACAAATGTAATTAAATGGAAATATAACAATTCATTTACAACAAACCATTGCATTTTTATTTTTTTGTCAAATAAGATGCTGCACGAATGAGCTTTGTAAATTAAAACATGGAAAATATATTGTTTGTATGATATTCCTTAAAAATAGTATTATTATTATTAATTTGAGAATGATATTTTATACAATAGTAATATATTTCTGTCATAATTTCTTCAAGTTAAACCAAACGTTTATTTTGATTGGCTGTAGTGAAAACCTTTGAGTTTCTGTGTGTATCTCACAATAGTTTTATCAAATGAAAGGGTTAAATGCTGATGTCCTTATATGAGGTGGCAGATGCTGAAAACACCACAAGCATCAAAGTATATGTAGTAGACAAAACTGTGCCACTCATTCACACATGCAGACTTCATATCTAAATAGACTTTTGCAGTTCAATGTTCAGAGACACTATTCTATAGAGTGGGGGAACTATGATTTCACTTTGTAGGCCGATTGGCTGTTAGCATCGCACTGGAAACCCAACTTTTATTTTGATAGGTTGTCATGAAGGACGTTTTAGTTTTTAGTTTCAGTTTTCCTCTCAAAGTGTTTTAAACACTGTAAAGCTGCTGAAGTGACTCTCAGAGCAGCTCTGGAGATGAAGTTCATGTCATCATGTAGAGAGACGCAGACGCGAGCATCACGTGTGTTTGAGTTCATGTATCAGAAGAAACTGTGCCATTCATTCACACAGAGACACACAGAACATGCAGACTTACAGAGAGTGTAACGTTATACGGTCCAGCCGTAGCTCAGTGCAGTCAGCGGCTGAAGGATGATCTGTGGGATGTTTTTCTTGTCTCTCTGCCTCGGGCTCGATCGCTGACGGCAGCTCAAATGATTACAGTAGTGTTTGTGACACATAACAACTATTTCTGCTGGTTGACAGATTAAACAACTACCTGTGATATTTCTCTCTGATCTCCTGACGCCTACGGACTGAATTAAACGCTTGTCGTAGAAAGTGGATTGATGTGATATTGACTGTTTTGTCTGCACTTTCTTGTTTTATTTGTCATTAGAGTTCAGACAAACTCTAGAAACATGCTTGGTTACACAATCACAGAGCATAAAAATACACAAATGTTATTTTATTGTGCATTAAAATACATAAATGTGATTTTTGTCTTCTTTTTGATATTGAAAGAATTATCTATAATTGCTTTTTTCACCTGCAGTGCATTGTGGGACTGCATATTTATGTATTCTGCAGTATATTCATAAATATATTGTGCTATAGTGTATACGGGTGTGTGTTCACGTTGTGTGTGTGTTCACTACTCAATGCAGAGCACAAATTCCGAGGATGGGACACCATACTTTGCCACATGTAACTTTACATCCCTTAATCCACCCCATACCTAAACTTAACAACTGCCTTACTAACTATTAATAAGCCGCAAAATAGGAGTTTGAGGCAAAAGTAGTCATAATTAAAGGGATAGTTCACCCAAAAATGAAAATTACCCCATGATTTGCTCACCCTCAAGCCATCCTAGGTGTATATGACTTTCTTCTTTCAGACGAATACATTCGGAGTTATATTAAAAAATGTCCTGGCTCTTCCAAGCTTTATAATGGCAGTGAATGGGTGGTAATATTATAGTCCAATATAAGTCCAATAAACTGCATCCATCCATCATAAAAAGTGTCCCACACGGCTCCAGGGGTGAATAAAGACCTTCTGAAGGGAATCGATGTGTTAAAAATTATCCATATTTAAAACTTCATAAACCGTAATCTCTAGCTTCCGCTAACTGTCGTACGTGTGTTCACGAGAGAGTGGCGTTCCAGCGGCCACTCTCTGGTGAAAATATGCTAGTCTTGCTAAAACCAAGGTTTGTTTACAGGAGCAAATTTTCTTTACAAATCCTCGTTTTGCATTTCTAATTCATGACCGGCGTTTTGTTTTCTCACTTTTTTACGATGGATGGGAGCAGTTTATTGGACTTCTATTGGACTATAACATTACCACCCATTCACTGCCATTATAAAGCTTAGAAGGGCCAGGACATTTTACTCCGATTGTATTCGTCTGAAAGAATAAATTCATATACACCTAGGATGGCTTGAGGGTGGGTAATTGGACCTTAAAATAAAGTGTGACCAAAGCTTTAAATATCTGTAGTGTGAAGGTGAGTTGCATCATTGCTGTGTCCTGTGGACACTTCCTCACTATTTAATTTCGTGTTTAATTTTCTCAAAATGTCTCTACACTGCATTGCGCTGCATGGAGCCACTGAGGTGAAACGCGTATGCAGTCGTACAGAGTTCGTTCCAGGTCTTTAGTGCGCGCTGGAGCTCCACGGCTGCAGCTGTAAACAGTTTTCTCCCTCCAAACCCCAGGGCAGGCCAATTGTGCCATTTGTTGTATTTGTCGTTGTTTGCAATTGAAAAAAAAATCAATGCTGCTCTCTGGCTCCTTTATTGCAAAGCGGAGCGGAGTAGCTTGTAAGGGCCGCTCGCATTAATATGGATAAGAGAACAGCGGCAGGATTGAGGGAGAAGAGACAAAGTTTGGGGTCAGTTTTTGAAAGAAATTCATATTTTTATTTATCAAGGATGCATTAAATTTATCAAAAGTGAAAGTAAAGACATTTATAAAGTTACAAAAGATTTCTATTTCAAATAAATGCTGTTCTTTCTATTCATCTGTGAATCCTGAAAAATAAAATGTATCAGTTTCCACAAAAAATATTGTGCAGCACAACTGTTTTCAACATTGATAATAATCAGAAATGTTTCTCGAGCAGCAAATCAGCATATTAGAATGATTTCTGAAGATCATGTGACACTGAAGACTGGAGTAATGATGCTGAAAATACAGCTTTGATCACAGAAATAAATTACAGTTTAACAGATATTCACATAGAAAACAGTTATTTTAAATTGTAATAATATTTCACAATTTTTACTGTATTTGAACAGAATTGAACACAGTGTGTAAAACAAGCTTTGCCAGAGTATTCACTTAGTTTTGGACGAATAAATAAATCTGTAATACTGTATATATTGTATAGTAGTACTATCAGTAATTATAATAGCACAGATTATGATTGAAATTTTATATGGTTGTCATGTAGACTTACATTCGTATGTTGATTCAAGACTAAATTCATCTCACATACACAGATTTTTTATCATTTCTTCACTTCTGTTTTCTTCAGAAGTTTTAATTAGTTTTATCGCTCTGAATTCTCCTGGCTCGCTCATGTCCAGGTTGTAATTGTCACGTTGCACACACACGAGGGACGAGGAGACGCTGGAGAATATGTTGACAAGACTTTATTTACAGGAACCAAGGGAGACGAACTCAGGAAGACGTTTACAGGAAGACGTACACACGAAGACGTACAACAGCGGACAGAGAACTTGGGACTGGGAACACATTTTATACACACACACAGGAGGAGGGGATGACGAGACACACCTGGGAGCAATAAAACCAAGGGAAACACCTGGGACAAATGAAATAAACTAATCAGGACAGGAACAGGAAACTAACCAAATAAGGGCATGGGAAGGCACATGGGGAGCAGGACACACACAAAACATGGAACAGAGTCTGACAGTAATGGAGAAGTCTCATTTTCTCCAGAGGATGAAACTAACTGTAGCAATCAGTTCAGCTCTCTAGATGTCGTGCAATCACCCGCGCGATTGTAGCTGAACAACGCGGCTGATTACAGTAGCGCCGAGGCTTTGATTGAGCCATTAAACACAATAACCATTAGACCCACAGCAGCGCTGCTTAATTTGACTGTTTTTCCTCATTCTGTCTCACCCAAAGGTTATACCAGAACATTATATTAGTTGCCAGCGCATATATTGTTTTTATATTATATTATCCGAAAAAAGGGAACGGGATTGTGTGGGTGTGAGCTACAAATGAGTTTGATAGTATTGAGGGAGGATTTTTTCCTCCTCTTTACCCTCCTAACCTGAGTATGTGAGTGGTGTGAAGTAGAGTTGTGTCGTTTTGGAGAGAAGAAGGTTTTTTGAAAGTTGTAGCATCTGAGTTTTCTTCTTGCTTTGATATTCATGAGCATAGGATAGCTCATAATGTAATAATGTAATCTATCTATCTGTCTGTCTGTCGGTCGGTCGGTCGGTCGGTCTATCTATGAAAATTAACAAAATTAAAATTTGGTCATTTATTTATTTATTTATTTTACAGATTGACATTTTTGTGAGAGTAAAATGAACATAATGAATTATATATACCTCCATTAAAAATTTTAGGGTTAGCATTTATTTATTTTTAAGAAATTAATATTTTTATTAATCAAGGACAAATGTCAAGATGCATTAAATGTATCAAGTGCCAGTAAAGACATTTATAATATTACAAAATATTTATTTTTTCATCTATTCATCTGTGAATCCCGAAAAATAAAATGTATCACGGTTTCCACAAAAATATTGTGCAGCACAACTGTTTTCAACATTGATAATAATCAGAAATGTTTCTCGAGCAGCAAATCAGCATATTAGAATGATTTCTGAAGATCATGTGACACTGAAGACTGGAGTAATGATGCTGAAAATACAGCTGCGCATCACAGAAATACATTACAGTTTAACAGATATTCACATAGAAAACAGCTGTTTTAAACTGTAATAATATTTCACAATTTTTACTGCATTTTTTTGATTAAATAAATGCAGCCTTGGTGAGCAGAAGTGACTTCTTTCAAAAATGTTAGAAATCTTACCAACCCCAAACTTTTGAATGGTAGTGTATGTTTTTTTTTGTTTTTAGAAGTTAGTTTTATTAGGGCATTGCATGAGAAAATGCAATTGTCACAGAAATGAGCCCAGTTTGGCGAGGTTTCTCTTACAGCATGCAACGCGCGAGAGAAGAAAAGCGTGAGAGACCGGCCCATCAGTGACTCACGTCTCCATCAGCGCTCAGAGCCAAACACACGAGCAGAAGCACTCCTGTGTCACGCTGAGATGATTGTGGCCACAGAGGTGTAAGGAAAAGTCAGTCGAGTCAGTAGATAAGAACAGTAGCACTCAGTCTTCCTCTTTATTCTCGGCTCAATGATTCACAGACGAACTGATCTTCACAACTCATGCATGCTACAAACATCCAGTGTTATTATCCTTAGAGAACTTTCAAATAATTAATTAAATAATATGTTGTTACTTAAAATAAGTTAAAAACACTAAATGAAAACAATAAGAAATACAGTACATCTGTTATATATTTATTTTAATAATTATTGTACTGTTAATTGCCAGAACTAATTGTTATTCGATGTTTTAGTAAGTCAGCTGAAGTAACTAAAACTAGGAACTAAGGGAGGAAAGAACTAGGACAAAAATTGCTAAAACTATAATAACAATAAATAACTAAAAAGTATTTAATGGTAACAAAGTACCTAAAAGTTTGACTAGTGTTACGATTAAATACCATTTCAATTTTAAACTCAATTTCAGTTGTAGTTTTAATATTATTTTTTTTTTGTAGATTTTATTAGGTTTTATATTTAAAAAACACTACTACTTACTGTTAGTTATTATTAAATACTATTTCAATTTTAAACTCAGTTGTAGTTTTCGTAGTCTTAGTTTTTTGAGGGGAATTTTTATATTTAAAAAAACACCATTAGTTACCATTAATTAATACCATTAATATTAATACCATTGTGTGTGTGAGAGAGAGAGGTTTCATTTCACTCTCCTGGTATAAATGTTGAATTTCAGGTCTGCCACACCATTTGCTTCTGCATAATTGTTTCTTCTTCTCTTCATCTTAGTTGTGTTTATCGCCATTTACTTTGATTAACTTCACATTCTTCTCCCTTCATCTTCTGTTCAAAAAGATGTATGCATTCTCGCTACATCCTCTTTTTCCTCTATTTATATTCTCGTCATGTTTTATTGGACGTTTTGGTAAATACGTCTCATTTATCACTCTTGCTTAGTGTGTCTTCCTCCGTTGCATTAGATTCCTGATGAGCCTGTCTCGATCTGTCACACCTTTGTGCAGCATTTCAAGTAAATAGTTTGGAGTTGAGTCTCTCTCTCAGTGTTTGAGGGTTTGAGCATCAATCATAGTTGTGCTGTCTGTGTTCATATAATATCAGAGAACATTTGGCCCCACATTTGTAGCATTTTACATGTATGCATTTGATTTATCCAAAAGTGACTAGCATTGCATTGAAAATATGCATTTTTTTCAATGCATGCATTCCCTGGGAATCGAACCTATGATTTTAGTGTTGTAAGTGCCATGCTTTACTGTTTGAGCTAAAAAAAAAAAATGCTTTACTACGTTAAACCAATTTTAAAGTAAAAGTCTAACAGGGCTAAAGGCACACCTTAA